CCTCAGTACCAGGAGGAGAAACACTTTCTCTTCCTGAAAGAACTAAATGTCACCACAGGACACAACTTTGTTCCTCATCTATTAAGACACAAGAGCTGAACACATGACTCTCCCCCCTCTTGTTCTTGGGTAAATAGTAATACCTGTATAGACTTAATTTCTAAGGATACTGTTCCAAACAAAGTCATTTTTCTTGGCAAAATGTCCCATTGGTGCGAGTGTCTGGTGCTGGCGAAGATGGCACTGATCGCAGTCAGCTTGTATTGTCCATGCCTGTTTGTCATTTGTGCCTATTTTATTTTCTCTTCTGTCACTGGGTACAGCTGAATGAGTAAGCTTTCCAATACACTTGTTGGATATGGCAAATAAATTATCTTGAATCTTGAATACATAAACGCCTAGTGCTTAAAACTGTGTGCTTGAAAGAGTTCACAAATTCATTTAACTTGTACTCAATTTTTTTTTTTAATATTTAAAACTACCCCTGGAAAACTCTTCTACACAAATCTGTAGCTTGGATCACCTTCACACTGAATAATGTTTTAGCTGCTTTGGTGCTCAGTTGGTCATTTGATGTTGTTTTTGTGTTGTGATATCGCAGTGTGTATGTGTATATATGCCCCTGATGCTCGTCTTTTCTTCTCTGTGCAATAATAAAAAATACCGAAGATGCAACCCGTCTCGGTATAAGGCTGTTCAGGCCCCAATACCTTTTCAATGACGACGAACCGTACGCACACCCAGACTGTAAAGATCTGTTTCTTTCGCCTTTCGTGTCTAGTATTTCTGCGAACCCTGAAATGCGGGTCCCGCTCCATGACCCCTGACCCCTGACCCCGGCCGTCCCGTTGAGCCCCGAGCTCTTGTCCCAGCAAGCCTGCACTCTGCTCTGGACTCGCACGCCCGCCCCTCCCACTCCAGCCGCTGTGGCCTCGGCAGTGAGACCCCGAGACGCGAAGGAACGAGCGGAGGTTAATTCCACGCTCAAGAGCGGAAAGAGGAAACCGTAAAGCTGACTGTCCTACAATGGGCAAGAGGAGGAGAAAGAGTTGTTGTTCCATAGTTTTAGCTCTTCTTTCTATTGAGACTGACCCTGACCCCTCCTTCTGCATTCTGTTTACATTTGTCAACTGGTTTCATGAGCCAGTTCATGAGCTAACGATTTCTCACCTGCAGACACAGCGGTCACAGAAGCGTCGAAACTGAAAGTATATGTGTCCGTTTCCAGGCCCCATCTTTCTTCGGGCTGTTTAAAAACAAAATCTGGATTTTTTTTTCCTGATTACGGGGCAAGAAATTAGATATTAACGATTATATTTGCTCATTACCGCTAGCTTACAAGAAGCTATCTGCTGCAAAAACTATTCTAGTTGTAGGAAAACAAAATTCTTACTTCATGTACTCCATTCCAAGTGGTACTATATTAATACTGGTGGAATATCGTTAACACGACCAATATTCGTAAAACTAAGTCACCTGGCGAGAAGCCGTTCCTGAGGTGAAAGTTGTTCATTGACGAGAAGATCTCGCCGGCGGCTCCGCACCGAGCGCTCGGATCAAGCTGAGACAATGTCGAGCACCGGGCCCGCCCCCTAGTGGACAAGAGTAGGGTGTGGTGCAGAAAATATACATACCGTTCGTATCCGTGTTATTGAAGTGTAGCGGTCTCTACTCCTAGGTTTTTTTTTAAAAAAAAATATTTATGCATAACAAAAGAACAAACATTACAATACAAACAAGAGTACATATAACAATTCCAACCAAAAATATCGTCAGGGGTACATACTACTACATCAACTCAAGTTATGAAAAAAGATTAAACAAATTAAATAAAAATAATGTCCGCACCGCTTTCATTTTTTTGCATTTCGATCTATACTCCTAAGTTGAAAATGTGTATATATATTATTAACCTCACTATTCAATCGAGAAAGGCACAGTTCTGAATTAAGCTACACGAGCACAGAAGAGACAGGCCCCAGTGGGCATTGATTCGTCGAATATACGTATATTCACGGCGAAAATACGGCTATACGTATATATACACGTCGCCTCGACGTATAATCAACGTCGAATTGCAACCGTAAAATCGACGACATTAATAAACGCATATATAACGTCGAAAACACATCTAACACAGTGCCTGAGGCTTTTTACTGTATGTATCGTGTGTGCCGCAACTAGGAGTATACGGCACTCTGCACAGTGTACGAAGTAAATTATTTTGGCAGTAATTAATTTATTATATTTACTATATTTATTATACACGTGTAAATTAATTACTGCGCGTGTAAGAGGGACTGGGAGCCTCCAGAAGCAGCTTGTCCGGCGGCCGTGAAGGAGGTGGATCACAGGCCGGCTCTTCCAGCGGTGCGGGAGGAAAGATGCGTGCTTCTGCTCTTGCTCTGGAGGAAGCGACGCCTGGGTCGCCGGGAGTCTGTTTTTCTTGACCGACTGTGGAGAAAGGAAGTAAGCTATTAGGACATTAGAGATGAGGTGAGGTTCACAATGAAAAGAGCTCGTCCCTTCATTGCTTATTAATGAAAAATCTAAAGCTCTGGACGATGGAGAACTCTTCAGCCTGTTTTCACTGCTTGTGATCAGGTCTCTAGACCGCTGAATGTTAGAACAGACTCCATGACAATTCCCGGATCCCGAACCGAGTCCTTGTTGTAGGACACGCGTGGGAAGAGCGCGGTTCTCAGCCGGAGAACATTGTCAGTGGGTTCTTCTCGCACACGGTACATAATAATAAAAAAAGATTCTTTGCTTTCATAACACATGGATTGGTACCGACGACAACCGCCTTCAGTTCTCGGGTTCAATCCGCTTTCACGTATTTATATTTACAGCGAGGAAAATAAAACTTAACGTCTCCAGTCCGAGCGGTCTCCAGGACTACAGCTACTGGGCTGTAGAGAGATCTCTCTTTGGCTCACCGGGCTGGGTCTCTGCTGAGCGACGCGGGAGTCCCGGGTTCGAGCCCCCGACGGTGGGGGGCCGACCTAATGCGGCAAGGGCGCCCGCCTGAGCCCCTGTTGCGTTACAATATAATAAGAACACACAGTGTTCCAATGGACCAGTCTAAGGTCAAAGTCTAAACTCTTTGACCTCATCCAGCTGAAAGAATCGGCTTCAACAACATGGCTTCATGGTGTTCCCCACCCCCACCACCCTCCGTGTACAGACTGGGCTCCAGCACGTGTCGCGGCTGACACCATGCAGATACAAGAATCCAGGCTCGGACTGAACCGGACAGAACTGGAGCATCAGACTCGCCGCCTGCGGAAAGCCGGCAGTGACTCAAGCGCCTCCTGTCCTGCGCGACCCGGGTCTAAACACAGCGGCCGGACTCCACGCCGGGACAGGCGCCGGCGGGGCTCTGGGGGGACGGACGAGCCCGTCTCTCCTCGTCAGACGGAGGCGGACCCGGGTGGGCAGCTGGGCTGCGGGACCAGCTGGGAGTTTTGAGAATCCCGCGGGGAGAGTTTGCGCTCGTCCTCGGAGATGGGGAGTCGCAGACAAAGGGAGTACGATGTCAATCCCAGTACGACCATTATCGTCGATCTGAGGGTCGGCAGATCTGTACTCGTTCTCCCTCTTTCTAACTGGGTCTTTCCTCTGCGACAGCGGTTCTGACTGTGAAACACAACGCCCCCCTTTCAGTCAACACAAAACCACAGCCCCCCTCCCTCCTGCTATACGGGCTTATAATTTTATTTAAACCTTTTTTCTTATTTCACTTGCGATTTCGTGAACTTGAATCTTACACCAACGAGGGATGCTCTTTTACTATAATACACGAGCAGAACGGGCTGCAGGTAGATCAGAAAGCCCGCCTCTAGGTGTCTCCTTTCGGTTTCTGATTCCTGGAGTCCGCCGGGAGCGCCAGGCTCTGCTGTACCTGTCCGCTCGTCAGACCGGCAGGAGGACTGGACGTCCTGTTCCCTCCGCACATAAGACGCGCACGCTTGCTTCATCCCGAAGGGAGATTGTGGTTTTACTACACGCCCTGGCGTTTTCTATCGCCGTCAAGTACAGTTTCGGTTTCTTTTCCTCTGCTTCCCTTCTGCGTGATCTAAA